AGCTTTTCCCTTCAGTGTTTTAGTGCCTTGTTTGCTCTATAAGCACTGAATGGTAAATGGGAACAAGATAACTATCATAGAATCATAGAAAGGTCAGAGTTGGAATGGACCTTATGATCATCTAGTTCCAACTCCCCTGCCATGGACAGTTTAATGAAGAGGCGTTGGCTTGAAATGTATCTCCACTAAGGGTTGGCCTGGCCTAAACTAATAACATCTAGTAATTTATGTGCTGAAGTGTAGCAGAAAATAGTCAGGCACAGAGTTTGAATATTGTGTTACTTAACTACATTTCCTGCTAAGTCACAAACTGGTATCAAGGAGAGATAAGAGTGTTCATAGACAGCAACATTTTCTAGGTAGAATTTTTCAGGTTTTATTAAAAAGTCAAATCATAATATAGAAATCTCTTAAGAAATAACTGCTAGTAGCTAGTAGTAATAGTAATGGCTTCAGTTATCCTTGCTACAGCAGAGTCCTTGGTGGAAATGCCTATTTTTCTCTTATTAGGTATGTCCTGTCTAGGCCTTCATTTCCAAAACTACTTACTTCCTGTCTATTAAGAACATTATAATGTGGAGAAATAGTGATTTTCTGTATCTGCTGACTTGGCCACTAGTTATATCAGCTACTACTGATGGTTTGGGTTTTTTTAATTTTGATTACCTGGCTTTACAGTACAGCAAAATTCACGAACTTTATGTTTACTGTCAGGAATCTTATAAACAACAAATATTCCTTGGATTGTAGCTTAAAAAAACCTTAACATGCTTCTTGAGTTGTGCAGAAACATGGTGGTGTGTGCTTACATATTTCTAACTGAACACCTTTGTAAAACTATTTTGTACTTATTCACTAGGGGGCAACACAAAATTCAGCCAGTGCCCCAGGGACTGCAGCACAGAATCAGCAGGTAATGCTTTTTGTGTGTGTGTGTGTGTGTGTGTGTGTGTGTGTGTGTGTGTGTGTGTGAATAAAAGCACTAATGTGTAAAATTATTTTATTCTCAATCAGTAAGAGTTTTACACAAACTCAAGGATCTATTTTACAGCTTCCTTTTTGTTCTGAGACATTTGCCTACCAGCGAAATCACAGCAAATGGGCAAAAGAAATTCCACTTTTACTGCATCTCGCTGACATAAGAATCTGTAGGTTCTAATTATTATATAGAAAACTCCATTATTAACAAATCTCACTTAATTCTTAAAATTTGGACTGCCCTTAGTATCAGTTGAAGGATACTTAGGTTTGGGGTTTTCTTCATTGTTAATAAATTCACTTTAAATGATTTTGTTCTAGTAGTACAAAAGAAGGAAGACTGCACAGGGTGCCAGAATATCTGTGTAAAAGCTTCCTTTCAGGAGTTTGAGGGTCCTCTGCTCACTTGTTTCTTACAAGTGTCTTATTTTCCAAAGGATTGAGTAGAGGTGTAGCAACAACTCCCTTTGCTTCGCTCGTCTTGTCTGCTGAGTGACCTTCTAAATGATTGACATGTGTTAGAGGTAGTAAAGAGGCAAGATGTGCACTAGAGCAAATATTATGGAAGAGTATCTTTGCCTGCCCTGCATCTCTTTCTTGAATACTATCATTGAGAAGTGCATGCATAATCCACAGGGGAAACGTCTTGCTTCCAGTCTGGGTTTTCTTTTGGATATTTGGATTGTACCAAGGCACAGTATGTGTATGTGAGTTTGCATCAAAACACAACCCTGAGTAGGTTATTTGTTTGAAGTTCAGAAGTTTATTTTGTAATGGTACTGCCTGGAACACTTCCATCAGCTGAAGGAAATTATTGTGCTGAAGCATTAACTTCTTTGGCGCCATTATCAGAATGTTTGAAGTTGTGCTGTCCTGTTTATTTTTGTAATCTCCTCAATGACTTGGGGAGATTCTAGTCTTTCAGTTCAGTGTCAGCAAACTGACTACTCAGCCTTGTGTCTGGTGGGCTGCTACATATTCGTATTAGCAGGCACATCTCTCAAAGACTCTAGGACTTTAATGGGGTTTCTAATTAATAAATTCAAATAGAGTACTGTAGTAAAACCATATGGGTTTTGTGGGCTTCAGTTGCCAAAAAATATTCAGTATTTCAGTACTATTGCAGGTGAGCAGGGTATTTATCATGGGATTTATCTCGCTGCTCTTTCAGAAGGATGTGATTCTTTCAGAGGTTCTTCCGCTGCCATTCAGGTGTCTTGGACCAGCACTACAGACGGAATTTGGGCACCTGGGTCCCCTTGACAGTGCTGAGAGTACTGCAGTATCAGCTGTTGACAATCAGAGTCTAAATGTGACATCTAATACACCATGTTACTTTTGTGGAAATAAGAGCCTCTGCAAATGAGTATATCCTTGTAACAGAACCAAGGGGCTCTGTCTGCATATTGCATGAAGGTATACTGAAGTCCAGCGAGCAGTATTATGAGTAGGATATGAGAGCCTTGGTTCAAATAATCATGGAGACAGATGCAGAGGAACAGATAGTTGTGTGTAATCTTCTGAGCTTTGATCTTCTGTTGTTGCAGGTGCCTGACAACCCACCCAACTATATCCTTTTCCTTAATAACTTGCCGGAGGAAACAAATGAGATGATGCTGTCCATGTTATTCAATCAGTAAGTTTTGAATAAAAGGACTTCTTTGCATTTTTACCTGTATGCTTTTTCTCAGTTGACAAAGCTGACTTTTTAGAAATAAGAGTTTCTTCTGAAGGTATTTCAGTTCTTTGTCTTACTGCCAGGATTACCGATGTCAGTTCTGATGACTTTGTTCAGAAAGCAAATCCGATTTTAATTTTTTTTTTTGTAGCTGGTTTTGATTGTGTAAGTTATCTACCATCAATCTGCACTGCATTTAAGCTGGCAAGTGTAGTATTAAAGACTTTACAACAGCAGAAGCGGTTTTAAAACTAGCTTTAGTTGCTTCTGTATGTGCACAAGGCTGATTAAATTGCTTTCAGATAATGATCCTTAATTGAGGCATGGTTCTAAGACTGGACATGCAAAACAATTTAAATCTTTCACTAATAGTTAACTATTATACTAGTAGATGCTTATGATAAGGTCTTACAGCTACTGATAAGAGATGTATTATCAAACTAGGAAATACTATCTGACTCTTTGACCTTATTTTAAAGGTTTCCTGGATTCAAAGAGGTTCGCTTAGTGCCTGGACGCCATGACATTGCATTTGTGGAGTTTGAAAATGAGAATCAAGCAGGAGCTGCTCGAGATGCTCTCCAAGGATTCAAGATTACTCCATCTCATGCCATGAAAATCACTTATGCAAAGAAATAACCGGATGCTCCTATAAAGGAATTGTGTAGAAATTTGTTGGGTTTTTTTAATGCAGTGATACTTTACTCTGCAAACATGTTTGTTGTTCTCTGCAAAAATTTAAGACTTGTGTATGATTGCCACAATGGCCAGGAGAGACGTTGGATTTCCACAGGTCTACTGGGTAGTAAATTTTTGTGTTGAAATACTGATTTTTATAAAATAAATGAAGTTTATGCTGTTCTCAAGCCATGTTATTCCTCAAATCTATCTTACTATTGATCTGTTAGGCTTGCGGGGCTTACTCACTATATAGGCTTAACTACTTTTAAGGTGACACTCATTTCTCAGAAGTAAGCGCTGGAAAAATAGCTGTCTCTGCAGAGAAAATGCGTGAGCAGGAATGCTAAATGCCACCATACTGAGAATAAATGCAACACTCAATCTTCAGCCTCATTACCAAGGGGGCAGCTTCTTTTCAGCAACAGTAATTTTGCCACTTAAGAAAAACAGCTTATCATTAGTGGACTCTTTTTTTCTAGGCATGGGTAGAAATTGATTACAGCACTGCTTGACAGCAGTGTTAACTTGGTTTTGTCTTCGTAATGTTGGCTGGTAGTAGAAACCAACAAAGTTCATCTGTTGTTTTCCTTTCTGCTCTTTCCAGCTCTGTTGATTTTAATGTTTTAGGATGAGCTCTCTGGCTCTTTACAAAGACAACACAGATGAGCCTGATGGTCTCTTTCTAGGCAGGTTTTTCCAAAATACGTGTCCTAATGCTTCTGGGTTTGTTCAGGGGTTTTTTGGGGTTTGTTTTTTTTTTGGTTGTTTTTTTTTTAATTGTTTGGTTGGTTTGGGATGTTTTTGTTGGTTGTTTTTTGTTTTTTTTTCTCCATATGTCAAAAACCTTTCTAGGCCTTGTGTGACATGAAATACACTGACTGACCAAGAAGGCAAATGGTGTCCTGGGCTGCACTGAGAAAAGCATAGCCAGCAGGTTAAAGGAGGTGATCCCTTTTAATCTGCCTGGGTGAGACCTCACCTGGAGTACTGTGTACAGGTCTGGGCTCCCCACTACAAGGGAGACATGGAGTTCCTGGAGCAAGTCCAGTGTATGGCTACTAAAATTATTAAGGATCTGGATTATCTCTCATATGAGGAAAGGCTGAGGGAGCTGGGCTTGTCCAGCTCAGAGAAGGCTCAGGGGGGATTTGATCAGTGTGTATAAATAGCTGAAGGGAGCTATCCATCAACTGGGTGGGACCAGATTCTTATGGGTGGTGTCAGGCGACAGGGTGAGAGGCAATGGGCATCAACTAATAAAAACTTCAAGCAAGCACATTAGCTTTTATATAAAATCTTGGTATACTTTGTAGTTCTGGCACAGTCATTTCATTTCTGAGCAAATGCTATATGATCTTTAAACAAAATAGCTCCATAGCCCACCTTTTTTGCACAAGACCTGAAAAATCAAATTCTTATCTTCTGCTCCTAGAGTATATTGCAGGATGTTGCCCCTTCCACAGTCATCTCTGACATCTCAGACAATTACTGTCCTATTTTCATATGCATATGTTTTCTTTTTTTTTGGTGGTTCTTTCTTGGGATTTTTTTGTTGGGTTTTTTGTGGGTTTTTTGTTTTTGTTTTTGGTTTGTTTTTTTTTTGGGGGGGTGGGATTTCACAAGTATTCTAATAATAAGTGAGAGTGGTTTCCATGTTCTTGTAAGGGAGCAAGGTGACTGTTATTCCATCGTGAACCTGAATGTTTTTTCTTCTACAGTCATACTTTCATAGGTATTATGCTGTCCTTGCATCCCGTTAGTCTGTGTACATGAGACTGCCATTGCATACCACTGCTCTTCACCTCTACTCGGAAGAAGGGTTTGTGTGGAGCTGTCTGTAAAGGAGGTTAGACACTGCATGCAGGAGGTTGAAGGAAGGAGTAATGGGCTGAAAGATCAGAGAAGATTGTGAAGTCAGCTGTAATAGAAAGGGAATGCTAGGAATTGCAAGATGCTCTTTCTTTAAAAGAGTGTGGGATTTCTCATGGCAGTTGACAGCTTCCTCTGTTCTGCTGAGGACTGAAAGCTGGTACAGCCAGCAGCTTTTTGGGCTGCCTTGTGAATCAGAATGGAAGCACTGGCACTCTGGAGTGCCATTTGGGGAATCTCCAAGTGTACTTTTGGTCACTTTTAAGGATTGATTCAGACCAACCTTCTGTAACTCGACAGCAGTGATGTGCATTGCTTACAGTCCAGTAACTCTAGTGGTGGTTCCCTGTGTGCATTTTTTGATTCTAATTAAAATATTCCCTACAAGTTTTGCCTCACGTAAGTTAGGACAAGGTTTTGGGAAGTTAGATGAATTCTAGATGTCCTCTCCAAGGTGTAAAGAGGGCCTTTTAAGTCAGCCTGTGGCACTGTATGTTTTCCAGCATCTTGCATCTGCAAACTCTCCACTGAGTTCAGTGAAATGTCTGCTGTCCTGGCTTGACCTGTGTATTTTGCTCTCACGTCTCCCCGTGGAAGGGATCTTGCCTAGACAAGTATGTGGTGCTTGGCCTCCTACGTTTCAAATTTAAATTGCTGACCTGCAAAGCCTTTTTACTGGGTTTCAGCTCCCTCATGCACTGCTTATATTTGCAATTGGTTTGTTTGCATCCATGCAGACAAGGGAATCTCTGCCACAGGGTTAACAGTCCAGTGAAGATTACACCTGTCAGTAAGCATTTGTGAAAATTAGTATCTTGAGGATTTGGAAGGATGTAATTTCCTTTACTGCTTACCAGTGTCTGACTTAATTTTAATTCTCAAACTTGGCTTGAGGTAAGATTAAGACTATGGACAACTACAGGAAGGCTTAAAACATTTAAGTAATACAGTTGCTGATTGAAATGTTAATGCACAATGGCTCTGGGAGGTGATTCAATTTTGTGATTGGACTCTCAGGTCTTCCTCCTGCCTGCAGCTGCTCTGGTGGGGTGGAATGTCACCACAGCCCCTTCCCATTGGCCTGGTGTGTTTGTCCAGGTGTCTGCCTCTGCCATAAAAGACTGAGATTGCTGGATCCCCTGTGCATTCGGCAATCACTGCAGCAAAAAAAATGGCACAAGGTGTCTACTTGGTTGTTTTACTTTTGTGTCTTGGATTAATGTATCCTCTTGTAACTGGGATTTTTATGGACAAGCTTGCCAGCCAGAAGCTGTGTGCTGATGATGACTGTGTCTGTAAGTAATTCTGCTTTACTTTTGAGGACAAAGTAGTCTCAAAAATGACTGTGAAGGTTGGATGCAGAGTAGCGTGAGGGAAAACTATGGTTAATAGTTATTTAACTATGTTATGTTTGCATTGTTTTGTCTACTTTAAAAGCAGAGTGGGAGGTTTTATTAAATGCAGTTTTGCTGCAAAAAGGGTTCTGTAAAGGGCATTTTTCACTCAGGTGTAAGGTAAGTGTAAAGAGAAGGATTTTAACTTCCACTGTCATGAAATGGCACAACTTAAGCAGCTACTTTGCTTACTGGAGAACAGAAAAATGAACAGAAAAGTATCTTGAAGACTTTTATTAATGTAAGGAAAACATACTTTTACCTGTAGAAATAGCTTTACATGTCCACACAAGAACACACACATACTTACAGTTCTCTCTCTAAAAGTATATATGTTTTTCAATTCATCCACCTCATTCTTTTTTTATGATTTTTTTTTTCCTAGACACCATTTCCCTTGCCAGAGCAGAAGAGGATTATAACGCTCCAGACTGCAGATTCATTAATATCAAAAAAGGGCAGTTGATTTATGTTTACTCAAAACTAGTAAAAGAAAAAGACTCTGGAGAATTCTGGGCTGGAAGTGTAAGAGGAGATTCTTGTGTATATGAGCAAACCAGAAGTATATTAACATGTTATTTCTGTCAAGAAATGGATTCTAATGCTGAGCGATTGTGGGTTTTAAAGCAGCAACTTAGTTTTCAAAGGGAATGTTTAAGCTTAAAGTGATTGAGGAGTCTTGAGGGATTTGGGAGGGGGGATGTTTGTTTTTTAATGAAATATCTTCAATAGCTATATGGTAATTACGAGCTGAACCTTAACAGAAGGGCTCCACAGTTCCTTTCTGTAGCAGCTGAAACTATGGAGAAAAAAGCTTTTATCACAGTTCGTCATGAAACTTTTAAATTTAAGGGAAGCAAAGATAAATATTAGCTGTACTGATTAAAAAAAAATATAAACTATAGATGGCATTAATTTCCTTCAAAAAATGTATGCCTGGATCAGAACTTTTGTTAATGGTTCCTTTAATGTGCCAGCTAATTGGAACCTAGAAAATCTAAAACCAGAGTAGGAAGCACTATTAGTAACCGCCTTTGACTAAATTATGAACTAGCTCAAACCAGATGAGGACTGTTTTAAGGTACCTAATTATACATCTCCTTGCTTGAAGGTTTATGGAGAACAGTATGAAGACCATATGGGGACAGTTGGTTATTTCCCAAGCAGTTTAGTCTCAGAGCAACATGTCTATCAAGAAGCAAATAAGACTGTTCCTACAACGGTAAGGAATTTGCAAAAGCCCAGCTGGCTACATAATTATACTTGGCTGTGTAATGCTAATTCGCTGTAAAAACAAATCATAATGGTGGCAGATGATTGTAGCGTATCACAGATGCTTAGGGATCCACTCTTTGGACCTTTATACAGGCAAATAGCTTCAGTAAAATCCCTAACATAAGCTCTGACATTGCAGATGTTACAAATGCTGCATTAAGGCCTTGATCCTATTAGAGCTTCTATTGACTGGAATAGTATTCGTTCAAGGCCACATAAGTTTTACCCAAAACTTTCTTTTTTAGAATCTGGATATTGTGCTGCATACTTCAGTAACATATACAACTGCTCTGTAATTGTATATACAGATGGACACTGTTATATAGAACTTCTGGTTTACTGAAAGCATGCTTGTATTCTCCTAACGCAGTTCCTGGTATGTCAGAAAGCTGAATTAAAAGACTTTGGAAACACATTAGTGTTCTGTAAGTAGACTGTATTTCTGAAGGGATGATTGCCCCTCATTATGTCCAGTAGTGTCTTGTGCACCAGACAATTTGTCACCCGAAACACTTCACAGGAGTGGAAGAGGAGGGTCCTTTCTCAGAGGCTGGTAAGGTTTGGCTTACAATCAGTGCTTACCGGTAGCTTATTTCTGTGCTTCAAAAGAAATTGAGTGGTAGGTTTACAGCAATTACCTCCATCAATACTGAATATTTACCCATTTTGAAGCATATGGCAAAATATGATTAGTGTGTCAATCTTAAAATCGTATCTGGAGTCTTTAATCCTAAGATTAAAGATTATGAGATGTTTCATTAACACAAAGGAAGTAAGTGAAAGGAAGAATTTTGTTTTCATGTTAATAGTCACTAGGATTTGTGTTACAATGTATCAGGGAAGCTTTGTTTGAGGAAATGAAAATCTCGGATAAGTGATTGCTTTTCTTGACATGACATTAGGTTATTCTGAATTTGGCCCAGAAGCATTGCAGCAATTAATCACTGAACATGAAAGAATGACTAAAATATGTTTCTAAGCTCTTTTCTGTACCATATGACAGCCAGCTGCCACATGACAAGCTGGGCTGGAAGCAGAAGTAGGTTAAAGCGGTAGCTTAGCCTGCAGGCTGAATTGGGGCCCAGAATAGGCTGCTGTCAGGCTGCAATGCAGGACTTTTAACTGGAAAATCATTTTCTTTCTCCAGACTAGTGACAGACTTTCACAGTTGTTTCGCCCTTCACATTCTCACCATGTGGGAACTTTGCAATAGAAACAAAGGGTAATTCATGTACAGCCTTTTTTTGTTCTACTGCTCTCAGCTGTATGTTGCAAGTGTGACCCTAAGGATCTCACATTTAAAACAGCCTACAGTGTGTCTTGACCAGTCTGTGTATGGGCATCCTGCCTGCTCCAGAAATATCCCTTAAATGTGCTGTTTTATGCAGAGCTGCTGTTGCACACACCACCACAGATGCCTCTAATACCACCACCCTTCCATCTGCAAATCAGAAGCCAATCTCTTCCTTGCAGCTCTGTAACCTTCCCCCAAGCCACCAGCAATCATTTTCCGCTGCTTTCCTGGCCTTGCACTGGTAAAGCCCAATGCTGATGTTATGATAGGTTCTCTTGGGAAGGGGCTGCCATTTATATGAGGGGATCTGATGATGGCCAAAGCTTAATGACTGATCAGATGCAGCACCTGCCCTTAATTGAAGCACTGTGTGACAGACAAAGAGCACTGGAAGAATGACCAATACGGACTTGGATGGGGAAAGTATTAGGAAGAGCACCTGCTGCACTTAAAGAGAACATAAGCTTGGGGGTCTCCAAGTGTCTCTGCCCTTTATTTTGTTTTTCCCCAAAAAAGTCACTTTCACTGTTGAAATCAATGTACACCATTAGCTACAGAACCTGCAAGTAAACACTTCTGTCTGTGACCTTCTCTCAGCATCCTTTTGTGAAGCACTGGGTAACCCATGCCAGTTGGTTGCTGTTTGAGCAGTAATCTTAGGACATTTCTTTTTTTTTCCCTCTGTGCTGCTGCTTCTGAACCAGTGAATCACACTTAATACAATAGACCCAACACAATAGACTGTATGTATTACAGAGCAGTGTTGGATTGCCTGCCTTCTCTCAATTGCTTAGAATTGGCCGTTCGCTGGCTTAGATGAGTACTTTCATTACCAGTAAGCATCTGTTCTGGAACAGCTCCCTGTCTTTGCTTCCAGTGGACAGATATATGCGGTGGGCTGATGTAAATGTACAGTTTGAGCACCACCATGTAATAATTCCCTGCAACAGAATCGAGACCTACATAGCCATGTAAGATAATAGCAGAAAGTCAGGTCAGAGCAATATGCTGTGGAAGTCTATGCCATGCTGGAAGTTTTCAAGCAGAATACTGGGATTTATTTTCTAGTCACATTTCTCTGTAGCAAGTGGACTGCATAGTCTCAATCTGTTTAAGGCATCCTTTCATGTTATGCATGACTAATAAATCCAGGCATGGATGTGAAAATACAAAAGTTAGACAGAGGAATCATTTGAAATAAGAGAGAAGTTGGTATTGCCTAATTCACTTTAAAAGTCTATGGCAGGAACAAATCAACCCAGCTACACAAAATGAATCAAAAGACAAAAAACCTTTTTGTTTTCTGCAATACTGTAAGACTATTATGGTGCACTTGGAGTATATTATGCTGTATTCTGTGTTTGCATCTACTGTACCTTTGGGGGGGGGTGAAAAGGGAACGCTAATCCTTCAGTAATCTCAACACATCTTTCCTTTTAACTCTCTTTTTCAGGACATTGATTTCTTCTGTGAATAGCACTGTCAGTGGTTGGGTAAGGTGTCAGCTGCTGCCAGGGAAAGCTGACAGGGAGAAACCTGGACACCCTCCCTGAACACAGAGCCCTTCCTGTGATAGATGTTTGTGAAGCAAGTAATCTTTCTTCAAAACAAGGGAGTTTTTATTTAAAGGAGTGATTTAGGATGGGGAAACAGTCCTACATGGGATTTGCTCTTTAGAGATTTTTTACCTGTGTGTTCTTTGTTACTTGTTAATAAAGCTAATAGCCTTTGAGTTGCTGTCTGTGTGGTATAAATAAGCTCTGTGTGGGATCCTGACCTGCATTTTCCTGCCATAACTTTACACTATGCTTTAGATCTTAGTGATACCTTCCTTGGGTGACCCATCTGTGACACTGGAATAAATCATTTTTGTTGCAAGAGCTATCCAACAATGAGAAATCACCAGTAACTAAGTATGGCCTTTAACCGTGTCAGAAAGAGCATCTCACCCATCTTGTGTGCTGGTGTAGGGCAGGTTCAAGCAGGCACTGTAGCTCAGAGGGGTGGGCTGGAGTAAGGCTGGGGATGGCACCCACCCAGCACCTACTCCAGCTTGAAGGCAGTTCTATATCCACTCACTCCCCTATCCTGCTGCTCCCTCTCTGGCTCCAACAGTCAGAGCCAGCACTGAGATGCCTGTAGAGCCTCACTGATAGAATGGGGTGCACTAGCAGATGAGATTTCTTTACGGACAAGCACGTTTCTGCAGCCACAGAGCAGAGGGGGGTGTCACCCTGCCTCAGAAACAAGCACAACACGGCTCCCACCACACCCTCACAGCTGCCGGCCATCAGCCCGCCACCCGCGCCTCAGCCAGCGGAGAACCTTCCAGAAGGGCGGGACCGAACTCCCACCAGCCAATCAGGATCGGGCATTCTCCGCCCCAAGGGTCTCGCAAGGATTACCTCAGGCAGGATGGCGGCAGGGGTGGTCATGGCTGATCGTGGGGGGCTTTGTCCCCAGCTGTCTCCGCATAGATGGGGTGTGTGTTGCCCGCTGGGCTGAGCCTCACTCCCCCTGGAACAGGAGGTTGTGTAACTCAGTGTTAAACGTGCCTAAGGGTGAAAGTGGTGGTGATGACGACAGCGCTGAACCTCTGTGCCAGTTCCACCTCAAAAGCTGAGTTCTGGTAAAACCTAATGACTCTGGGGAGGCTGATTGACAGAATGTTGTAGGACTAGATAAAGATCTCTGGTAGGGTGGTCTGTGAGCAAACAGTTACTTTTTAAACAAAAAAGAAAATGCGATTTGTTTGTTCCAGTTTCTCTGTGGCACAGCTTTCTAATATGAGGTGTTGGCAATTGTGCATGTTCTTTTTAGGTGGGCCTGCTGCTTCATGGAGATGCACCCTACACCTGGGCATCTGTTAGGAGCTGAGAGAAGCAGGGTGGTGTGTGCAGCAGTAGGTGTTTGAAGACAACACAGCAAAGACCATTAAATTGCCCTGGGAGTATGAATAAAAACTCTGAAGTGAGGTTTAGCACTTGCTATTGAAAAATAATGAGGTTTTCCTCAAATCATAATCTGATATAATTGCTTACAGTTATTTAAGTACTCAGTTCTACATAGATGTATAAGAGTCAGATGTAAAAAGCTGTATATAGGTTTCTCCACAAAGTTGCCATCCTTTTCACTAACAGTGCAAGAGTTCCAGGTCAGAAGTGGACATTCTGTGGTATAGAGACCAGTGTTTGTTAATCCTTAACTCATGTCCTCGTAAAGAAAACCTTGCAGACATAACTGGTTTCAGTTCCCGTTTGCTCTTTCACCAGCTTCTTTGAGCTACGGATGCTTCAGGACAGCAAAACAACTATAAGAAGAGAAGACTTCCTGTGCAGGATGCATACAACATGGAGTAGGTATATATAGATGTTGTCTTTTTTGAGCTTGCATAAATGCAGTGTTTGGAGTATCAGTGAGAAACAGCCTATTGTGACTTCTTTGGCAGTTACAGTAAGTCTGGGGCCATAGTGGCAGAACATGGGCAGCGTATGTTTATTTCTCTTTGCTTCTTCCTTAGCTGCCATCAGAGACCCTGTTCTGCAGTGATCTCTTCTGTGCAGTAAAATAACACAGCAGGCTTTCAAGGGGCATCAAAGTTTGTCTTTGCTACTTGAAAATCTAATTCTGAGGGAAGTAAGATAAGGGTTCACTGTGTGGTATTCATCAAGCATCTGGCTGCAAAGCAGCATTGTACTGGCAGAGATACTTTTCTACTAAATTCAGTCTCTAATGTGCAATTTTTGGATGGTTTCCAATCAAATGAAACTTTACAGCACTTTTTGTCCGTACAATGTTGTAGGTACATTTTTTTTTGTACGTTGACATTGTAAAATGTGTAAAACTGTCATTTTGCAAACACAGGTGACCTGTGCTACAATCTGAACTCTGGTATGATAAAAGTCACTGGGGATGGCATGATTAAGGGCTCCTGAGAACCCTCAGGACCCCTTTGGTATGACACAATGAAGGGCTTCTGCAGAGCAGCATGATGAAGGGTTTATCTGGCATGGCATGATGAAGGTCTTCTCCAAAGCACCACAATGAAGGGTGGCTGTGGAGCAGCACAGTGAAGATCTCCTTTGTTGCAGCATGATGACGGGCTCCTCAGTTGTGGTGCAATCAGGAGCTGCTCCAGGACGGCATGATGAAGAACTCCGGAGTGGTGAAGAACTCCTCAGGTGTGTCACAATGAAGAGCTCCTCAGGAGCAGTGCAATGAAGGGCTTTTCTGGCAAGCTGTGATGAAGGGCTCTGGGGTGGCATGATGATGTGCTCCTTCAGGGTGAAGCAGCGAGGAGGTCCTTGGGCACAGCACAACAAGGGGCTGGAGGAAGTGCCAGGCTGCACGATGAAGAGCTCTTGCAGGGCACCACAACAATGGTGTTCTCCATCACTGTGTGATAAAGGGCTCCTCCAAGGCAGCAGGGAAGGATGGTCTGTCTGTAGGAAACATTTGAGTGCTTGCAGTTTGCAGCCCTATTTAGGTGAAGTTGACAGTTAAAGATCAATAGTTTTAACACTGAACACAGATCTGTTTTCTGCATTTCACATTCTTAGGTGAAGCTCGTTTCAGAACACAGCTTGCCATTCAGACCCCTAAGTGTTCATGCTGTAGCAAACCTCGCTGAAATAAACAGGAACTGACTTTTAGGAGAAGGAGAGGAGAATCAATATTATGCTAGCAGGCAGTGGAGGATGCTTTTGATTTTCTGGTTTATTTCTTTTTCCCCTACAGTGGTTATTGTCATTGCAGTTTCTTTATAGAAATCATAGCAGTTTCACAGTTACTGTTTTAGTAGTATGTACACAGTCTTACATGCAGAGTGTGCTATTTATATGACAAGATCTTATAGTCTGTTCATTTTATCTCAGCATTGGGAAAATACACAGCTTGATGTGTGTTTCAGTTTTGTGTTTAAATAAGGTTGTATATGACTCTTGATGTGGCCTTGAGCTGCACTCTTAGCTTGCGATCTTGGCATTTATTTGGCTGAAGTTAGCATTAAGTTTTCAGCCTTAGGTGGGGATTCAGAAGCTTTTAAACTCCACCGTTGTGTATATTTCAGCAGGGTTGGCTTTGAAGAAGTGTAATACTCCTAAGTCATTACCTGAAGTAAAAAGTTTGTAATTAAGAAAGCCTCGCTGCAATGGGATTTCATCCTCTTTGCCTATGGGGGAACCGCATTGTTAGGTGAGCGCAGGGTGACATCCAGCGGCTGTCTTCTGCCTGGCTGTGAGAAGGAGGCAGCTGGTTAGTAGCATCACAGGGACACTCTAGCTGGTAGGTCCTCTACTGGTCTCCTGCCCAAAGCAAGTCAACATCAGAGTGCTTATGGATTCACCCTGTATTGAAAATCTCCAAGGACTCTAGGTAACTTGGTCCTTAATTAGTCTCATGGGGAAAATGAGTTTCTTTGTCTAAACCCTGTTCTCATTTATGTCTGTTGTCCGTCTCAATAAAAAGCCCTAGTCCATCTTCTCAGTAAACACCCTGTAGTTTTGGGGTGGCTGCTTTTATGTCCCCCTGAAACTGTTTCTTCCCCAGGCTCAAGAAGTCCAGCTTGCACAGCCCTTCCTGTCAGGGTTGGTGACCCCTACCCATACCAGCGTCTCTCCACAGAACATGCTCAAACTGCACAGCAGCAGGCCAGGTTTCTGTTTTGCTCCTAGCAGAAAGAATGACTGAGTTCATGAAGGATTCACACATGCTTATCTAATTCTTGTGATCGCACTAACTTTTTACAGCACAAATGTTTTCTCTGGTTACATACATTGCTGTAAGCATCTTGTTAGCTATTCTACTAACAATAAACATGCCCCAGGGCTTATGAAAGATCATAGAATCATTTAGGTTGGAAAGGACCTTTAAGATCATTAAGGCCTAGCACGGCCAGGTCCATGCCAAGATGACAAGGTACTCACTCAGAGCTTTCCTGCAATGTGTTTCTTTCACAGAGAACATGTTCTTTCCATCACAGCTTTGCCTGTGCGCTCTTGACAACAAGAGTGCTGTGTGTTCCTGAGGTATGCTGGCCTGGTGGTGATGTGCCTGTACCAACAGTGGGGTGGTGTTACCACTTCGTCAACCAGCCACATACAAGCTTCAGTGACAGAAAACACCAGGCAGCTGGTAAATGCTGAGTTCCTTTTCACACACAATTTGCAGCATTGTTATTCCAGAAGTGGGATCATTTACCCATCATACAAAATACCAGTATACACACGATGTCAAGATATTTTATTTTTCTGCTGTTTTGTGTGAGATAGGGTGTTTGGTGGCAGCTCCACAAAGCTAGGACCTTAGTTCTGCATGCATGAGGTAATGTATGTTTTTCAGAACAAAGAAATTACTTTTCATTGGTCAGAAGTTACTAAATATATTATTGGTTAGTACTGTATCTTCTATTAGTTAGATTGTCCTCCCTTGCTGTGTAAAGTAGGGCACATACTCTTGGGGGAGGAGGGGGGGAAGGATCAAGCTTTTTCTGTCCTGAATTGAGTCAGGGGTCATGAACTCCCCATGCCACTTTTACCTTTCACCCAGTTACTGCTGTTTTCTGTTGACTTTTTGTTTTTCTAGTAGTTGTCTCGTCATCTGTGCCTTCTTGGGCTGGACATTCCCCTTTTATTAGTCCTTTAGTTTTTCTTTCAATGTTAAGGTGGTTACTAGGGAATGTGTTGCTTATACAAAATCTGTTGTTAAGGGATATTAATACTACTTTGTGAGCCA